GGGGGGGGGGGGGCGTGCTGCCGGGAGCGGGGGCGCGAGGCTGGGAAGGGCCGCTGGAATGGCCACTGGAATTGTCACTGGAATGGCCACTGGAATTGGCATTGGAACTGTCACTGGAACTGTCACTGGAATGGCCACTGGAATTGTCACTGGCACTGTCACTGGAATTGACAATGGAACTGTCACTGGAATGGCCACTGGAATTGTCACTGGAATTGACATTGGAATGGCCACTGGAATTGTCATTGGAATTGTCACTGGAATTGACATTGGAATGGCCACTGGAATTGTCGCTGGAATTGACATTGGAATGGTCACTGGAATTGTCACTGGAACTGTCACTGGAACTGTCACTGGAATGGCCACTGGAATTGTCACTGGCACTGTCACTGGAATTGACAATGGAACTGTCACTGGAATGGCCACTGGAATTGTCACTGGAATTGACATTGGAATGGCCACTGGAATTGTCATTGGAATTGTCACTGGAATTGACATTGGAATGGCCACTGGAATTGTCGCTGGAATTGACATTGGAATGGTCACTGGAATTGTCACTGGAACTGTCACTGGAACTGTCACTGGAATTGTCACTGGAATTGTCACTGGAATTGACATTGGAATGGCCACTGGAATTGTCGCTGGAATTGACATTGGAATGGTCACTGGAATTGTCATTGGAACTGTCACTGGAACTGTCACTGGAATGGCCACTGGAATTGTCACTGGCACTGTCACTGGAATTGACAATGGAACTGTCACTGGAATGGCCACTGGAATTGTCACTGGAATTGACATTGGAATGGCCACTGGAATTGTCATTGGAATTGTCACTGGAATTGACATTGGAATGGCCACTGGAATTGTCGCTGGAATTGACATTGGAATGGTCACTGGAATTGTCACTGGAACTGTCACTGGAATTGACACTGGAACTGTCACTGGAACTGTCACTGGAATGGCCACTGGAATTGTCACTGGAATTGTCACTGGAATTGACATTGCAATTGCAAACGGAATTGACATTGGAATTGTTACTGGAATGGCCACCAGAATAGCCATTGCAATTGACATTGGAATTGTCACTGGAATTAACACTGGAACGGCCACTGGAATTTACATTGGAATTGTCACTGGAATTGTCACTGGAATTGACATTGCAATTGCAAACGGAATTGACATTGGAATTGTTACTGGAATGGCCGCTGGAATTGTCACTGAAATTGCCATTGGAATGGCCGCTGGAATGGTGACAGTGCTCAGGCTGCAGAGATGTCACCAGGTACAGTGCGATGTCACCAGGTACAGTGTGATGTCACCAGGTACAGTGCGATGTCACCAGGTACAGTGTGATGTCACCAGGTACAGTGCGATGTCACCAGGTACAGTGTGATGTCACCAGGTACAGTGCGATGTCACCAGGTACAGTGTGATGTCACCAGGTACAGTGCGATGTCACCAGGTACAGTGTGATGTCACCAGGTACAGTGCGATGTCACCAGGTACAGTGTGATGTCACCAGGTACAGTGCGATGTCACCAGCCCAGCAGCGATGTCACCAGGCAGGTGTGAGGATCCCGGCGCCGGGAGGCGTCGATGCCACCGGCACCCGCCCACGCTGCCAGCACCAAACCGGTGCCGGCCGGTGGCAACGGGAGCAGTGCCAGCGTCCCCAGGGCCGGTGTGACAGGGACCCCCGGGCACGGCGCAGCCGGGGAGGCAGCGCTGGTTCGTGCGGCGCCGCTCAAATGTCAGCCAAATTTAGGTGGTTTTGAAGGGTTTTTTTTATCTCCAACCCCACCGGATCGGGCTCCATGTGAGGGAGGGATTGGGGGCTGGTGGGGGGGGCCATGAAAGACCCCCCGATTTCAGCTGCTGGGGTTGGGGGGGATGCGCAGCCCCCCCCGCACGGTGCTGCCGCCCCCTCCCCAAATCTTCCCAGCCAGGAATAATTTTCCTCTGGCGTTACATAACAGCGGATAAATAAGAGGAAAAGCACCCAAAAAGAGGCGGGGGGGGGGCCCGATGCCACGGCCACGGGCACAGAACAGGTGGCACCGCCTTGTCCTCGGGCTTGGGGACATTGACACGAGGTCACCTGTGCCCCCACACGCCCTGCTGGGGTCACTCCCCGGCACTCGGGGGGCTCCCCGGTCACAGAAGGGGGGAAGCTCCCCGAAATATCACCCAAAATGGGGGTGTCACACAGCTGGGGGAGCTGAGCAGCCCCCCAGGTGCACCCCAAAAGGGCTGAGCCAGCAGAGGGGTCTCCCAGCAACCACAGAAGCTGGGGGCAGAGAGCGACCCCAAGAGCCCCCCAAATCCACCCCCAAAGTGGGGAACCCCCCATCCCAGCTGCCCCCAAAGGAAACACCCCTCCTCACACCCTCAGACACACAAGGGGGTGAGCCCCCCATTCCCCACCCTGGGGGGGGGGGGTGGGTTCCGGCCCAAAGGGGCCAACGCGCGCCGCCGAGGGCCGAGAGAGAGGGGGCCGAGAAGGGGGCCGAGGCGCGGGCCTCGCCCCCGGCCTTCCCCCCCCCCCCCGGGGGGGGGGGGGGCTGGTTCCTGCTCACAGGGGTCAGAACGGGAGGAATTTGAGGGGTTCACCCCTCAGAGCCCCCCCAAAGCCCGGGGAGGGCGCCGAGCCCGTGGCAGCGCTGCGGCCGCCCCCACAGCCCCCCCTGTTTGGGGGGGGCCGCAGCAGGGAAGGGGGTGGGGGAGGGGGTGGGCTGCCGCCCCCACAGCCCGATCGTGCAGCCACCGAGCTGGGGGGGGCGACAATGACACCCCAAACTTGCCCCCCACAGCGGATCCCAGAGCCTGGGGGGGTTCAATGTGGGGGTCTGGCACCCCCCTGCCTGCCCCTCTCCATTTGGGGTGCAAGGCTTGACACCCTCATCCAACATTTGGGGTCCTGCACACAAACCCCCACTGCTGCCCCGCAGGGAACCCCGAAATGGGACCCCAAAATTTGGGGAGGGGCTCATCCCAGAGCACCCTCCCTACACCAAATCCGGCCCTGAAGGGGGCCACGGCTCAGGACCCCCCACCCCACAGGAGGCTCTGGGCCGTGGGAGACCCCGGCTCCTTCATGGGGGTGGAAGAGAGGAATTGGGGGACCCTTAGGTCCCCCTTTTCCACCTCACAGAGGGGCCCCGAGGCCCCTCAGAGCCCCTCTTCCCTCACTAAACAATCCCAGACCCCTTCAGTCCCTGTTTTCCCTTCACAGAGGGATCCAGATCCCCCCAAATCCCCTCCTTTCTCCACGTAAAATACCCCAGGATCCCCTTTTTCACACCCAAAAATGTCCCAAGACCCCCTTACACTCCCTTGTTTTCCCTCTCAGATCCCCTTTTTGGCTCAAAAACCGACCCAGCTTCCCGTCAAACACTCTTTTTACCTCACGAAATCTCTCAAATCCCTGTCAGGCCTCACTCCCCCCTCACAAACAGACCCCAGACCCTTTTTACTGCTCGCAGAGCGGCCCGGGACCCCCTTTTTCTGTCACAAGCCGGGCACGGAACCGCCGGGCTCCCCTCAGAGAACAGCCCCAGCCTCCCTCAGCCCCCTTTCCCTCTCGGATCCCCCTTTTTCCCTCTCAAAAACCAGCACAGGTCCCCCCTCAAAACACCATTTTTACCTCACAAAATTACTCAGGCCCCTCTAAGACCCCTTTTCCCCTCACACAAACCCACTCAGTTCCCATTTTTTTCCACATGGACGGAACCAGAACCCCCCCAAATCCTTCTTTTCACCCTCTCAGATCCCCCCTTTCCCCTCACGAATCAGTCCCCAGCCCCTCAAATCTCCTTTTTCTTCTCTTTCCCCTCACAAACCGACTTCGAACTCCCCTTTTCCCGTCACAAACCGACTCACGATCCCCTCGAGCCCCTTTTTCCTCCCTCAGATCTCCCTTTTCCCCTCACAAAAATTCCCCAGGCTCCCCCAGACCCCTCTTCCCCTCAGAAAATTCCCTTTTTTCCCCCCAGCCGCCCCTCTCCCCTCACCCTGGAACCGGCTCCCCCTCCATCCACCCCCGATCCGCGCCGTCCCTCCCTCACCTGTTCCGCGTCCCTCTCGTTGACGGTCGGCAAAGGGCTGCGACCGCTGCTCGACATGGCGGCCCCCCCCCCGCGCCGCCGGCGACTATCGCGATAGGGGGAAGCCGCGGCAGGCGGTGTGCGGGGAGGGGGAAGGGGAGGCGGGAGAGCTCAAGGCCCGGGGGGGGGCCAGGCCAGCGGCATTGGGGGGGCCCTCACGCCGCCGCCGCCGCCTCAGCGCCCCGCGGCTCCCAACATGGCGGCCGCCGCCGGCCCTCGGCCATTTCCGCCGCCGCGCCGGAAACACCCGACACGCCTCCCCGCGCCGCTTCGGCTCTTCCCGGAGAGGTTCGGCTCGCGGCCGTCACAGACTTCGAGTGTTTCCGCCTCCACGACGGAGTCACACGAAGCTTCCTTCGGGACTTTCCGCCGAGCGCCGCGGGAAGTGCCGAGCGCCGCCCGCTCCGCCGCGACTCCGAGTGGAGCCGGAAATACCCGAGTGGAGCCGGAAATACCCGAGTGAGGCCGAAACACCCGAGTGGAGCCGGAAATACCCGAGTGAGCCGGAAACACCCGAGTGGAGCCGGAAATACCCGAGTGAGGCCGAAACACCCGAGTGGAGCCGGAAATACCCGAACACCTCTTGGCAGCCTTCGGGCGCTTACGCCCGTGACGGAAACACCCGAGCGGAGCCGAATCCCCCTCCCCAAGCCTGATGGGGACCCCAGGATGGGGCGGGGGGCGGCCCGAACCGCAAGATGCTCCCCGAATTCGGGGAGCTTTTCTGGACCCCTGGGTCCTCCCCGATTTTGGGGGGACGGATGCTCCTTGTCTGCACTGGGAGGGGGGCGGGTCCAGCCACAGAAGGGCGTGTCCTCACCCTGCCACGCCCCCTCTGGACCAAAGGGGCGGGGCCGGGATGGGGGGAGGGGGGTTCCATGGGTGCCCCATCGCTCCGGGCACCCCCGGGCTGTGCTGCGGGGTGGGGGCGGGGATGGAGGGGGTGCA